TTTCTTGTAAATGTAATGTAGACAAAAAAATGTAATGTAGCACAGCTTATTGTGTGCCAGTAATAGACTCAGGTTTTTGTGATCAACATATTTCTTATGGAACTAAAAAAAAAAAAATAATAATTAAATTCTCCACAGTTTTAAACAAGAAAATGTCAAACTACAGATGAATAAATCAAAAATTCAAACCTATCTCCTAAAGAAAAGTGTTTAGGAAAGCTGTCTAAAACAAAGACCTTTGCTCAAACAAAGACAAAGCTTTGCTCCATTGAAAAATCAATCAATCGGCTGTTGTGGCATTATGAAATCGTATTTTGGACGTGGATCACTCTCTTGTGGACCTTTAAAGCCTATTACATGTTAGAGTTAAATACTTTCCTATTAGTGGAACATTTGCCCTAGCATTCTGATCTACAAAAGAATACCTAAAGCACGTTGCCCACTTAACAAAATTGTAGGACAGACAGTTTTAAAAGGTATGGCATGACAGTTGAAATTTACCTGCCATGTTCCCAGTCCTCAACAAAACCTTTTGAATCCCTTCAAGGTACCTTCACTACCTAAAATTCAGTTGACTCCATCAGATTCCGTGGACTAGAATATTTTATTTTTCAGTGTAAACCGAACTTGTATCTGGTTTCATTCCAATTTTCATTTTTAATCTCAAATTTTATTGAGAATTTGGGTGTAATGAAATATCTACGAATTTTCGATGAGCATGAATATTGTTTTTGTCTTGTTTACACTATAATAAATATACTATATAATGATTGGTAAATGGTTGACTGTCGTGGATAATGAAGAGAAGAATAGTTGGGGTGGTCAGTCAAAAAAGAAGGCAAAAATAAATGATAATATTTAAGGTGTAAAAATAAATATTATCATTTATTTTTGCCTTCTTTTTTGACTGACCGCCCCAACTATTCTTCTCTTCATTCTATATAATGCATTTATTTCTCATTAATTTATGCAAGAACATGGATTATTATTGAGTGCTTAGAGGGAGGACAATAGTAAACTTCAACTTGAGCCATTGAATTCTGAATCTTCAAACAATAAGGGAACTAGAATAAATAGTGTCATTTTTATGTAAATATTCATGGAATGACATAAATATATACACACATCACCTTCCGGCTTACATGTGTGAGCACCTTAAACAGTTTTTTGTGAATAGCTTTATTGAAATTATTATTTTGAATTTCTAGTAAATTTTTCTAGTTAATGTGTTATTGTACTATTAATTCATGTTATCTATTAATTTTTTTATTATTGGTTTTTATGTATGAAAATATATTATTCATTTTGGTTAGTTTATGATGATAATCGGCAACAAATATTTTAAAAACGGTATTTTTTTGTGTCAATATGACATAGAGGAATCCATTTTATATAAAAATTTACCTTTACAACCAAACTTTTTATGTAAAACTTTGTCGTAGAATTGATTAACTTGCGGCTAATGTTTATTATCTATTTAGAATTTTCATGTATATGTGAATATATATATAATTTTTTTTTTGGTAAAATGTGATTCAAGGAGCTCTATCTTGGGATGTACTACAGCTACAAATTTCGAATTGATATAAAAAATTAGGTAATTAAAACAATAAAAACGTTGATAAAAAAAAGTCAGGGTGGAATTGGATAACCTAGATTTTTCAATATCGTACCAATCCAGGCAAATAAAAAAAGTTATAACTACCCTAATTTTGATAACCATTCTTTTTTTTTTTTTTGGAACAATTTGGTTGAAAAATATGCAGTTATACTTCAAAAAAAAAATTAACAATTGTTTAATTCAATAATTTTTTGATATTATTTATCTAAATTCTTTACTTATGAAAGGAATTTCATTATATTCAAGAGATCAGATCATGGATTCCAATGAGGTATTAAATGGGTGAATATGAACACAATTTTGAATTCATTATTAATATTAATAATGCGGTTTAAATAAAAAAAGAAATATATAAATAAAACCGTACAAGAAAGTGTTGAGTTCCAGAAGTGATTGTTGTTTAGTAAAAGGTAAAAGCCAGGTAGAGGGCTGCATCTCTCGACAAGGGACCTGGTAGATTCAGGTGGCACAGCCAAGATGGCCGCCAAACTCTCTCACCTGTTGTACGCCAGTCGTGCGTTCACCCATTACCATACATTTATCTCTGGAATAATCTTCCACATCAAAATAGAAGCATAGTTAAAAGAACACAAGGCTTTATTTCCCGTTCTCTGTTACTTCAATCATTAAAACTCAAAATTGTGAACTCTAATTAGAAAATTCAAGTTAGTATTATTTTTGTAAATTAATACCGAAAAAGACTGTAAACATAATTTAATATCATTGTTTATTCACTATAAACAAATCATATGTCAACATAAAAGCCTCAAGTACTAGCTGAAAAGGATCAAGAAAGAAAACTTGGAAATAAAAATGAACATAAACAATTTGTCAAGGTCTATGTTGACATCTGTTATCATTACAATCTCTCTAAAATCTTCTTTCAAATACATTCTAAACTGGAACAGTTACATAATCTGTTAAACCTAACAAGACACTAAATAATATTCAATATAATTTAATTTCTTGAGCTGGCATTATTTTTGTGTTGGTTTGTACTATTTTTCATACAGTTATAACCTAAAATTATAAATCTATATTACTTTTTTTTTCATTATACAATGCAGTATGTCAAAAAATGCATTATGTTAGACTTTTTTTTATGTTCCAAAAATAGGTAAGAGATAAAAAGACTTTTGTGCTCAAAGTACGTATTATTAATTATTCAAATGTACTATATATTAGCAAATAAAATTTAAAATAAGTGGGTTATTAAAGTCTTCTATGAAGAATCAAGTCTCAAGTTATTTATAAGGCCTTTATTTAGATGTTAAAATATGAAAAGTTAAAAAATGTCACAGGCTCACACTATTTGACTAGAATTGCATCATAGAAAGATCTATTCATTAATTAATAATTTATACTCTCTAATATCCAATTTTGAGGATAGTCTAATTTTAAAATAACAAATATTTCCTTCAAGGGAATATTTAACAAAAATAAATATGGAATGTAACCATTAGGTTGTCAGATAATTTACTTTTAAATAATATCTGGAATGATAAACCTATTTATGTTAAGTTGAAACTTAGTGGAAGAATATAAAGATGCTAGACAATATTTAGAAAAGGAACATCTTTACATAATTTATCTGTTAACTGAATAAAAAATGATACCTAAGATTATTTGAATTTGTGTCATATCAGGACAGATTTGTTTAATAATTTATACCAAAATAGCTTTCTCACTTTCCAGAAAGTGAAGAAAACTTGAGACTTACTCAAGCCAACATGTTAAGAAAAAATAGCTATGATTTGCTCTGAACATAAGTATTAACCTGTTAGTTCATTTATGAACGATTAATTACCAATACACAAGACAAACTTTAAAATTCAATTTGGAAAATCAATGGGAAATAAAAGAATATATAAAAAAAAATCTATGTTACAAAGCAATAATTTTTTATTTATATAATATAATTTACAAAAAAAATAGCTTCGCAATAAAGCCAAAATTTATTTTTTATACAAACTTTGAACCTTGCCGGAAATGAAGCTTTACAATAATTAAAACTAGGAATGTAAAAAAATACAATTGAGTTGATTGGGAATGGATTAATTGGTCCCATGGAGTATTTTGATATGGCAATTATTGATTTGAAATATATAACTAAAACAAGGCACACTTACAAAATAAATATATACAAAATTTAAATTTTAGTTTATTATTTCCTTCTTTGCTTATTGCTTAAATATACATATACTAAAATTGTAAATATATATGTATGTATATACATTGATAACCTGATCAAATCAAACATTTGAAAATATCACGAAGACTAAAGAGGGACATACACAAATTTTACGAATAATTTAACCTAGAAACTCTCTTTACAATTGATCAATCATATCTGGCAAATATATATATATATATATATATTTAAAGAATTATATATATATTAGTTCAAAAATTAATATATATATTTTAACTTATATATAATAACTATGATCACATTTTTAATAAGTCTAATTAAAAAATTACATTCACTCTAACACACACTCATTCAACCTCAAACAGGATATTTTGCCAAAATATATACCACTTCAATGCAAAGCATTAAACAAAACTAACTTGCTAAAACACAATTTAGTTTACAAGGTAAGAATTATATATATGAATTTAAATTTTTATAGTTTAACAATTTTGTTTTACCTTGTAAAAGAAAGATATACAGGACCGACTCAAGAACAAAAATAAATAATAATAATCACCCAACAAAGTGAAAAAAACATATAAATAAATAATATAGAAAATTTTTTGTAAAATTAAATTCAACACAATTAGTGAACCTACTATAATTTCTTTTTAAAACAAAAAAAAAAAAAAAAAAATCGGCACCTTAATTTTAAATATAGAAGTGACACATTATATTAACTTCTACTATATCTTAAAATCTTTACATGTAATAAAAAATTAATTTTATAAACAATAAGGAAGCAGTTAAAGTTTAATACAGTCTTTTAAAAGTAACATGAGCATTATTTTACAATTTGACCACCTAAATTATTGCCAATTGTTTCGATTTGGAATGTATATTATTGTCTTCAAAAATTGTAAATAAAATGTGTGCATTAGCTCTCATAATATGCTACTTCCTAGCTATGAATGAAAGACATATAGCTTTGGCAGTGCAATTATGGAGAAGTATTACTTCATTTGATAAAAAATAACAAAATATAATAATAAGCAAAATCACATAAGTGCCTGAAGCCCCCAAAAGAAGGATGTTGTCAATTAACAAAAATGAAATTAATGCACATTTAGAACACATTATTTCAAGAGCTTAAAGTCTGGACAGAGCCCTACTCAAGAGGGCATAGTTAAGGCACTAGTATTACAAAATACAATAAACCATATAAATCTTAAACTGACTCTTTACCTTCAAACTTTTTCGCCAGATCTGCTATCAGTTCTTTAAATACGAGAGGGTCAATATTCTTACCCAACTGGTAAAGAACGAACCAGTCGCCAAGGTAGCAGTGCTTGGCGATTGCCTCTATCTGGTTCTGGGGCGACAACCTGGACCTGGCGCGGAGGAGGTAGAGGCGAAGCTGGGGTCCGCAAACCACTGCCACGCGGTAGACGATGGCTAATGCAGACAAGATGGTGAGGATGATAAACCAGAACCAAAGGAAGACATAGATTTTTTCGTTGACAATGTTCAACGGGAGGACGCACAAGCCATCGAACTTTTGCACGGATCCTGAAGGACCATATTTATGGAAGGTACATTTGGTAACTTTAGGAAAAACCCTCGACATGGGATCTTCTCTTTCTTCCGGTTCCATTTCGGTGAACCTCACGACGTCCGATCCATACGTGGTGAATTCTCCATCCAGGAAGAAGTCCATGAAATAAATCTGTACCAAGACATTGATGAAATTCAGTGCTTCGCAAATAAAGAATCTAATTGCGTAGAAATTTTGAGTATGAAGATTGGAGGTAAAATAATCGACTAGTAGCTTCTTTCTGTCGGCTTTACATTCTTCGTTAATGACGGGGCAGTTGAGGTCGAGTACCAACATCTTGATCCTTCCTCCTTCCCAGGTTTTCCATAGGTAACGAGGCACATAAAACAGTATCGCTTGGAAAAACAATACGAAGCACACCCACTGGTAATATTTATGGTATTTAACTTCATCCTCACCTTCGACATGACCTGCTACTCCCGGTTGGACGACATCTTTTCCCACAGTTCCTGTGAGTCGGTTCGGAATCGTAAAAGTCGAGTAGATCCAGCAGTAGGTGTCCATTACGCTGAGAGGAATGTCATCTACGATGCAGTCGATTGGGTCTCCGATGTATTGCCTGGAGGTGACCAACAGGGAGAAGGCCACCAGGATGATGACGGTGGCTTTGTAGTGTAGCCTGAACACGTTGTTGTCGATGCATACTGTGTCTATCCGGAGAAGCCCCTTGAGGGAGCCGAACACGTCAAACATGCTGGAGCCACTAGAACACACACAAACACTCTCTCAGTCAAAACTGCACTGACGGACTGTTGGCAACAAGCCTCACTGGTCGAGGGGGGAGCGGGAGGGGGCATGCGCAGAAGCCTAGGGGCTCCCCACCCTTCATGGCCCTCTCCCCTCCAGTGAGGCCCCCAAACTCACCTACTTCTGAAGTTAATTCTTATATCTTAACATAAAATAAACATAATTTGTAAATTAGAAGCATATACACCCTCTCAATTGATATCGCTTGATCCAGTTCCCCCATAAGAGCATTTAAAAACTTTTGTTTATTGGGTCCTTTAATGATTTTATGCAATAAATCAGAAAGCTTTTCTTACATTAAATTTGAATTAACTCCTAATATTTTAAATATATATCCAATAAGTTTAACAGAAATGAGAATATTTTTAATTATCTTTTAAACTTTCTGGTCGTTGTAATGTTCCATGGCCCTGTGGCGCAACGGATAACGCGTCTGACTACGGATCAGAAGATTCCAGGTTCGAATCCTGGCAGGGTCGTAATTTTTTTCATTAGCCTATATTTCTTCTAGGAAATATAGATTAGTTTTCATATTTTGCGATATCATTTAGATTTATTATTCGAAAATATAATTAATTCAATTGCTATGTATTTCCATACTATCACAACTTCAAGATATTTTTAATTTTATTATATATTATGTTCTAATTAACGTTTAGATTAAAAATAGTAAACGATACAATTTATACTTTATTACAAAGAACAATGAGTTTAATTCTCTTGTTAATTACGTAATATTCATAGAAATAATTACTGTGCAAAACTCTTATGATAAATTTATTATTATCACAAATAAGTTTTTTTTTTTGTTTCAATAAGCCATTTATAAATTATAGTATACAAGAAAGATAGAAGTACCTAATTGTTTATAATAAGTGATACAAATAAATCTATAAATCAAAAATATTACAGTATTCTCTATTGTTCCTACTTTGCTACAAAAACAATGTTTATATGTGTGGATATAGTGGACTATTAGTTCTTCATTTCGATATCTCATAAAAAATTTAATACAATCATTTTCAGTTAGTCATTTTCAGTAAGGAAATTGAATGTTTTATTGGGATCCTATAAAATTATCATATATGATTAATTCCGGCAAATAAATAAAATGAAAGGAATATTACCAATAATACCCTGTATGGATCATTCAAATTTCAAATATTTGAGTATTCACATATTTGCAATATTAAGTTTATAGGTACACAAAGTACACAAATATACTAGGTTATACAAATAATCTGTCGGTATTTGTATAGATAATTATATTTATTCCATATATATATATATATTTATACTAGCGGATTCAGGATTTAATTTTGGGGGAGTTCATCAGCCCGAAAGCTTTTTTTTCCATATATATATATATATATATATATATATATATATATATATATATATGTATAATGATAACTAATTTGAAAAAAAAAAAAATACTACCTATGTGATATGGTGTCTAAGTGATTCTTGAAGTCCTATTAATGTAATTACACGAAAAGTAATACTTTAACAGATGGTTTTTAAAATTTTTTTCTATAAAACGTGGTTCTATTTTACCATTTTGGGGGAGAGGGCTCTAGTCCGAACGCTCCCCCCCCCCTCTCCGTAGATCCGCCAGTGTGTGTATATATGTATGTATGTATATATATATATATATATATATATATATATAAGAAAAAGTATCTAATAAGGATATTCAACATTTAGAGTTTGTATGTTTGATTTAGGTATTGAAAATAAATTATACATTCGCTCGAATTAAAATTATGGAAATAATTTGTAACTTTATGACTATTCTAGGAATTCCTTTTTGTAGAAACTGTCTGTTTTTAAATTAAAATATATATATATATATATATATATATATATATATATATATATTATATATATATATATATATATATAATTTTAATTCGAGCGAATGTATAATTTATTTTAAATACCTAAATCAAACATACTAACTCTAAATGTTGAATATCCTTATTAGGTACTTTTTATTTAAATGTTATTAAAACTATTCAGAAATACCAGGCTTACTTGCGTCATCACATGCTAACTACAATGAATTGTTTGTTTATTTACCTTTCAATCGGGTATATGATAATAAGAACAATAAATAAACAGTATAAAACCACCTATTTACACAAATGATAGTAAAAAAAAAAAAAAACCTTCAAAATTTACTTAAATTAAAAGTTCAGTCGAGTTGAACTAAATGCTTCAACATTCCATTATTTATTAGTTAACTCAGCAAAAATTTCAATATCGCAACGTTTTGTATCCTCCCTGCTTTCTAATCAGTTGTAAAGGAAGCCAAATTTTTAAGCTAAGTTTCTCTCGGCTAAGCGATTAAATATTGATAGTTTATCACTAATTTGATATTTTATCACTTTATTTTTTTTTTTCAGATAGCTTGTGATAATAAATTTAATGTTCTGGAAGAAAATAATTTTAAACATTTCAATTACTGTTGTAAATTTGTTTTTATTAATTCATCAAAGTAAAATATGAAGAAAATTATTTTTATTGTTTCGAATAAATAATATTAAAATCTTTAAATGCACTTTTTTGTTTATTTTACATTTACCTCTTAAAAACGCGATTGGATATGATGGTGGAATTTCCTCTTCTTTTTTAAAATACTGTTAAATATGTCAAATAATTAAAATAATATTTTTTGGGATTAACCTGAGTAATAATAATTTTAAAAAACATATATAAATATTATTTGGTACGAATTGAACTTCTAATCGTTTCCAACAAATCAAAATTTACACTGTATATTAAAAGTTAGAAAATTTTTTTTTTATAATATATTCATTATATTTTTTTCTTTATATGATGAATACCATCAAAAGACCATTTTTAATTCAAGACTCAAAGACTAGATTGTCGAACAGACAGATTGTTATAATACTCAATAAAGAAATTTAAAAAAAAAAAAAAAAAAAAAATACTAGATAATCCACCCATGCATGATTAAGCATATCTTTGCTTCAATGTTGTATTTCTTATCTGATTTCTAAAATCATAATATTCTATTTTATTTATTTGGTATTTTGTTTATTTATTTATTTTGTATTGGCAACGCCTTTACATTACACTCTGTTGCAGAGTTTTATCACTTTTGTTAACGATTTCGTCAGGGTCAGTTATAATGTCTTGTCCAGTCTTTATACCAGGCAATTTCTTGGTTTCGGAGATCCCCTTAATGCTTTTCACTTTATTCCAGAGCTCCTTCACTGAAATGCTTTGATTTAATGAAGATACGAAGTCTTCCCATGACGATCTTTTGCTTTTCGGTATATATCGTAATCTTTGTATCTCACTGTTTGATTTTCTTGTAAGTGTGTTTCTTGGAGACAAACTAGTACAGGGTTCTTTTCGCTTATTGTAATTTTTAGGTGCTCTAAATGTTGGAAAAATCTGTTACAATTCCATTGAATGATTGTTTTCTTTTTGATTGGCAAAGTGTTTCTTATTTTCCAGATTATTATTATCACGAATATTCTATTTCAAGACTGTTATATTTAATAACTATTCAGTAATCTTCACGAAAATCAGAATAAGCTATAACAAATAATTTTACAAAATTCCTGTCCCGGAAAACAGTACCGTTACTCCATGATTCTTTCTGAAAGACGTAACCACTTAACCACAATGGCGAGGAAAGAAAAATTAAAATATTTTTCCACAAAATTTAATCAAAATTAGTTTAAAAAGTTTTTTTTTCTTCTTTAAAGGAATCTAGTCGACTGTTCTACATATCATGAGTGATAAATATTCAGGACGCAGTCTTTTATAAAAAAAATTTAAACCACTCTGCCCGAACCACGCCCTGAAGATGACCCACATGTTTGGGTTGAAATGTTGGCACAAATAAAAAATATTTTTTTTTTTTTTAAAGACTGCTTTCTGAATATTTCTTCTTCTTTATTGATTATATTTTTGTTTTATCAATTGAAATAATTTGAATTATATTTTTAATGAAATTATATAATATTTTTAAATTAAATCATAATTTTACTAGATTAAATTATAATATTCGCGCTAGGACAGTTATGTTTTAATCATGAATAATACATAGAATTATTATTAGTAGCCTACGCTGGTTATAATTATTATATCCTAAATAGGGCTGACGTGACATTCCACGTGAATTCCAACGAATTGTTCTTAAGATTTAAATTTTATTTTTGAATAGTTATTAGAATAAAACAATTTAAATATAGGTTTGCTTAGCTGAAATCCATTTGAACTAAAACCCTTATAATACGGCTTATACCTTTTTAAAAATTGTTGCATTTTTTATTATATTTTTATGGTACTAAAAATGTATTCAGGGTCTATTTTCTAAAGGGCTCAACAACAGAGGCATTACAATATTAAATGACCACATTGTTGTAAAACATATAACTGTTTTTTTTAATATGAAAGTTTTTATTGCTAATAATTTTTTTTTTTTTACTTTTATTTTGAGACCTCAAAAATATATCCGTTCCCAGACTGCGCCTTCCAAGAGAGCGCTACAATATTTGTTTAATTTTATTTTTTGGCTGTTCAAAATAAAAAATAAATTATTTCATTTCATTAGGTCCCAATAGTGTAGAATTTTTCATCAATTAAATGAAACGCACCAAATGAAAATTTTGGCTTGCTTACAATTATTTTAACCCAAAGTAATACTTGTAGTGCTGAAAGGTGCAATAATTTTGTTAAACATTAACAGGTATGTAATTAATTTGAAAATTCTGGCTTTAGCTTTTGAAATCTACACAGAATTAACGGTTTATAATCTATGGACCACAGGGGTACCCATCCACCAAGATCGAGAATCTACACCCCCCTCCTCCCCAGATATTTTACTTCTACATCGTTTTTTTAAAAACAGAACACAATTAGAAAAATCGTAGATCATATACAATCATACTTGCTGGAGTCTGTTTCATGTTTTCCTCTTGTCGTCCCTTGGTTCAAAAATTCATAACACCATGTGTGACCCCTCAAAAAT